TACATGCATTTCTCATCAATGTTTCTTCTTCTGGGTTAACGTACAGCACGAATGTTATTTTATATATATATAAAAAAAAAAACTAAGAATTATGACCTGTAGACTCTGGTTATAATGGGTCTTAATTCCTAGATGTTTTATACAGACAAAGAAATCGTTTACACTGACTTCAATTGGGTTTTTTTTTACTCCAAAGGATCTATTTACAAGATTCTTTCAAGTGAAAATGTACCTATTTTAAAAAGCCCAAATGTTACATAAAACATTATTTATATTATGTTATTTAATATTATGCAACAATCACTTGAGTCTCATACCCCAAATTAAGAAGCAAAAGCTCTTGTATTATGGAAATCTGGTACAAAAATGTACCACAACATTCAAATCCGAGACATCATAGTAAAAAAAGTTAATTTTCTTTTCAGGGCGATCCCTGAAAAGAAAATTAACTTTTTTTTTTCTCACACTCACAGATTCGATAATCTGTGACTTCAGGGAAGTTGACATCCTGCAACTAGCGTGCACATATTTTTGGTAGTCTCCCGTTTCTAAACCAAAGCTTACTAAGACCTTATTATTATTTTATAACCACAACCTGTTCCTTCTAAAGAGTTTTGCCCGTTTTTACAATATTTGTATTAATACTCATATGATACGACATTAAAGATACGAGTGGAATATTCATCTATTAAATTAAGTCAAAGGCAAAGGAATCGAATAACGATTGTTTTAAATTTAACAATCGTTATTCGAATAAACTTATAAAGAGTACTTTTGTTTATTATTTCATTTCCATTCATTGTAAAGCACTTGAATGAAAGAGTAAAAGCTTTTGTAGTACGGAAATCTGAAACAAATTTGTACTGTCAAAAATATAACACGACAATTGAATTGATTCCTTCGACTCTACAGCGTCTACTGTGAAAAAAAAAACAGAACATCCTGAAGTGATTCTTTTGACTCTACAATGTCAAAGATACATATAAACTAAAACAATTTGAAGCTCAGATTTGAAAATGTCAAAGTGATGTCCTACCGGTTGATCTATCAGCCTGACACAATATTCAGGCATTTTAACATTTTAATCAGGGTTGAAATTACGTGGTAGAGCTTCAGTTACAATTATTAGAATTTTTAAAATTAACAAAAACAAAACTAATTTGACAAATTATTATTTTCTCTATCCCAGTAAACTCTCCAGTCACCAAAATTTCATTTCTGATTTAATGCTATCTTTATATTTTTCATTTATTAAGTTTTGTATTTTAAATAAAATAAATATTTATTTATCGTTGCATTCTTCTCTATTTCAAGCAACAAGATAAGTCAATTATAACTAATTATGTTTGATTGCCAAAAATAAATTCATTCGTCTAATAAATAAATAATATAACACCATTCATTTTATGTTATTAACAATATTAAGACTGATAATCCTGTGTTATATAAGGGACGTGTAATTTTTACACATCGAGGCTGTCACGTCAAGACATGATGTGTGGCGAACATCCGTCCTGAACGAATAAGATTAAGTACAACTTAGTATGAAAGAGAGCTTTTAAATGTTATAATGATTATAACGACTACGTTTAACGCTTATATTAATATAAATAAAAAGATATAATAATATATATTTTACCTAAATACAATTCGGATTTTTTATACTCACATACCTAAATTATATTTTCGTTCAATTGATAATTTGATTTCGATAATGTTTAAATGAAATCATAACTTATGGCCGTTGTCAGATTTAATTTTCCTACATAGCATGCTTAAAATCAGTGCCGTAGCAAATGTTGCTTCGGCTCATACTGAGCAGAGGTCCATTTGGTATAACTTATATTCTTAGTTTTTTTTTTTGCTATGTAATATTATGTTACTTTGTATTTTATGCCAAATAAATGCTTACTATTCTATTATATTCTAATGAAAAAAATATTGTATGACCAATAATTTTTTTAATCATCTACATTTGCTGACGACATCGTTCGTAATGTGATCTCTATTTAAGACATCAAAAAAACTATAATTTGTATAAAAAAATGTATAAAAATAAAAAAAAAAAATAGAATGTATTTTACATGTGTTAAAAAAACAACAAAACATTTTTAGTTATATTTAGTAAGGTATCAAATCAAGTCATTAACATATGGCGTGTCTCCGCCATTGTAGAGTAGAACTAAATGAGTCCTAGGAATTACACCTTTTAACGGTCCTTCATTAATTTGTGCTGTCTTCATACTCCGCGGCTCATGTAAGGCATTTGTTTGGAGCTTAAAGTTGTAAGATTAGCTTTTACTAAGAAAGTATATCATAAATAGCTTGAATTTGTGGAAAAAGACCTGATTATGTTATGTAAATGTTCAATATTATGCTTCTATTTATATTTTGGTAAAGTATGTGACAATCAATATGAAAATGGTTACCATATTCATAAAAAAATACCGATTTGATTATTTTTAGAACAGTAACATTGTACTAAATATAAACACTGAATCACGTACAGAGTCTGTAAAAGTAATACAGCAACTCCCGTCGAATTTGAAAAAATAATGGGAAGTCGTTACAATAATTGTTACGGAACTAAAACAAAATTCCACAACGCCAATCGTGTCATCCATAATAATCAATCGGTCCATTGAAATCGGATACGTGGTGTTGCCGTATCCCATAATTACGCTAATCGGAGGAACGGAGACCATGAGAGGTAGCGGGAGCGGGCGCGCACACGTGGCGAGGCTCAGGTGCGCCCCGCCCCCCGCCCCGCCCGCTCCGCTTGACGCGCGTCAACTCGACCGCTCACCTCGTCGTCAGACGCGCACTGCACTCGACGCTCGAACGCCGGGAAAACACGAGCCGTTTTCCGCCGCGACGAAACGCGCCGAAGTTTTCAAAATTCGAACGTTCTACAATCAAATATATTTTTAATAATAAATCTCCTTGCATAAAGAACTTTGCGTTGCCAGTTTAGATTACGTAAAAAGTTTCTTTATTTTGTTTTCGGGAAATTAAAATTGATTTGTGAAAAGTGTTTTGGAAAACTTAAAAAATTGTGGGATGTTAGTGAATTATATTCAATTTATTGGTTGTGATATTTAATGAGGTTTGCTGTTAACGCTGCCACTCTTCAATTATTGTTGGAGTGAGTATATTGTTTATTTCCATTATAATATGAGTAAAACGGTAAAAAATTAATTCGCACCGTATGATATAATATTACCTAATCCGTAACAAATCTAAAGAAAATTAACGTCAATTGATACAATTCTAGTTCAATAGGCGCATTGCCATAAACTCAAAGCGTGTCGCCGTAAATCTCTTGAAACTTTGTGGATTTAGACTGTCCACTTGTCACAGTACATTAAAGTTGTCACCTATTGATATTTTTAGAATTTCATTGCTATCGAAATGAAGATAGTAATTAAAGTCAATATTCTTTCCTAATAAAATGTATGTTACATATAATGTAATTATAAGTTAAAATATATTTATTCAATTCAATTGTGAATTTTGGGTACTTATTATTTCATTATAGGAATACTAAAAATAACTTGTACAATTATCATACATTAATAAAATTTAAATATAATTCAATTATATGTGAAATATATATTTATTATATTTAAATTGTGAGATTTGGGAACTTATTATTTCATTATAAGAATACTAAAAACAACTTATACAATTATCACACATAAAGAAAATTTAAAAACATCTAATATAATATCAAGCACATATCAAATCTAATAAGTAGGTAATTATCTTCATTACAGTTCATTTCATTCATTATATTTATAACAGAACTGTAAAACTTCACTTCAAATAATTAAGCCGCCTTAAAACAAAAGCTATCAAACCGCCAAATTATAATTGAAACAGTGTCGTCCTCATCAAAGGATGTCTGGGAATAAACAGAAGATAATAAAACGAAACAAAAACCAACCGAAAGAGAGAAAAAAATATAGAATCGTTCGGCCCATTTAATGCTTACCGGACGGGAGTGACAAAATTTCGAACTGAAATAACCAGCACATGTGTTTTCATGTCACGATGCAACAGAAACAACGAGTTATTCTTAGTAATTAAAATTAGCAAGTTGGTAGAAAGCTACAGGCGTATTTCTCTAAGGTCTAGTCGTTAGCTATTTATGTGGTGGCAAGACCGAAATTAGGTATTTTAAAAATAGAACGTGGGAGAGATATTATTTGTTTATTATTAATGTCAATAACTTTGGCTTCAGGATACGCACATATAGTTGAATGTATGTTACATCTGCTCTTAATTTGATATAGATTTAATTTCTCATGAGTTGTATCTGTTTAATTGAATATGGATTCAATTAATAAAGCTTATGAAATAACTTGCACTTAAGCCTATTATTTTATTTTTTAATCAACACTCAGGAAACATCTATTTTTCAGAATTTTGAATGTTTTAACTTTTCTGTTCTACTGAAAATAACTTATAATTAAAATTGAAAGAAGATTATATAAATAACATAAGTTAACGATAGTTAGATTTATTATCATCCTACTTTTGAAATGAAGAAAATGAAGAAACATTATAGAACAGTTAATTTTAGTCAAATTTGAATATTTGACTAAAACGGGTAAAAATATAGAAATTACAAAATTTTTTGAGCTTTTAAAACTATTAAAATAATATTAAAGATGTCAATAGATCAATTTAGTAGTTAATGTTTAATACCTGAGAAAAAAGTATTAATAACTAAAAAGGACACACATTTCGAAAAAAAACACAAATCGTCTTGAGAGCGACTTATGAAATTCATAATTCGAACACATATCGCACCAAAATTCACACATTCATCAAGCTTTGCGTACGCGTCAAATAAATCGGATACACAATGACTGCTAATTTGCTCATAAAGATGTATGCACTGAGCCGAGTTCATAAATTCGGCGCAGTCACATTCGGCCTACCGCTTACACCCATAAACCTCTGCGGACATTTTTATGACCCAACCACGTGGCGAAGTCGGATTTTTTCCGCACTTGTCTTGACATCTGTACCGTGTGTCGGGGAAGTCAAAAATTAATTTATTGTTCTAAAAACATTCAGAAACTAAAATGTAAAAACGATAGTTAAAGAAATGTAATAATAATTCGTAATACTTTAGTTTTGGTTAGTAACATATTGTTGTAAAATGATATCTGATCAGAATATATTTGCACACATTAATTTATTAACATTAAAAATTAAACCTTTGTAAAAACCCAAGTCTCAATTTAAGATTGCAAAGAAGATAAGTATGTTATTGAAAAATTTATTCAAAAGATGCTCATTTAGTACCACGTATAACCATAATGCCGTAATTATTACATTATTGTGCCTAATCCATTAAAAATAAAAACATAACCAAAAAGACATTCCATTTAAAAATTATTTATTTAAAATTTGAATTCAAATTATAATGGCAAGAACACGTAGTAATAAGGCGACTTACAACTTCTGCCAAATATATACGACTTACAAAATACTCAAAGGTATTATAAATGCGATATAAATGCTATATGTATAATTGAATTGTTACAGCGCCATAAAACGTATAACATTAATATCCGATAACAAGATGACGTACTTAACCAACTAATGCGTCTCATTTTATCACAGGACCATCAATCAAGCCACTCCGCGGGGACAATTGGAGCGGGCAGCGGCAGCACTTAATATGTCCAACTAGACTATTCAATGCTCATCCGAGCGATGACAAGGTCTGAGTGAAAATTTAGAAAGAGGCTAAAGTACGCTGTTATCGATGAATGAACTAAACTACAACGCAGGGATGAGCTCCTATCAATTCGTTAACTCCCTAGCTTCGTGCTATGGGAATCAGGCACCTGGGCGTACTGGCACGCCAGTCGAACAATCAGGCCACCCGGGAATACCTACGCCGGGTGCAGACTACTACAATCCAAATGCCGCGGCGTCCGCATATCCTAATGCGTGCTATTCGCCACCGCAAGTCAGCCATCACTATCCGCAACATCCGTATGCGACTCCTGCGGCAGGTGCACATATGCAACCACAAAGTATGATCGATTATACCCAACTGCACCCGTCAAGACTAGGCAGTACAACCAGTCATATGCATCAACATTCAAATCCAAGCCCTGGTGCGCTCTCACCAAATCTAATGTCAACACCGCCCAGTCAAGCGGGTGGTGCCAGCTGTAAATTTGCCGATTCTACTTCTACAACAGGAGTAGCGTCTCCTCAAGACCTCTCTACGTCTTCTGGACCAGGAAGAACTTCACCGGGTTTCGGTACAGTTGGCGGACAGAATTCTAGTGGCAGTACTAGTACAAAGCTAGGACTTACTACTCCTATTGCTTCTCCTGTGGAGCACAAGGCTAATGTTAACCAAAACATCTCCAGTCCCGCGTCGAGCACATCAAGCAATGAAAGCAACGAGGCTAACAACTCTAGTTCTACTAATTCCAAAAATGCAAAATCTACTTCAAACACACAAGCAAATCCTCCGCAGATTTATCCTTGGATGAAGCGTGTACATCTAGGACAAAGTAAGTACCAATCCTACTTTTCTGTTACTTTTTCAACCGATTTGCATAGAATATTAAAAATAACGGTCCCAGATAATGGTTTCCTAGTGCGAGAACAATCAATTTTATAATCGGCTCGATTCACACTTTTTTACTTGGTACCGTGAAATCTTAAAGTAGCTCGGCTTCCTCGTCGTAACTAATATCGAAAGCCGTGACCACGCCTTCGTTAAAAACCAACAGTTTGATGTAACAGAACAAACTATCCATCAATTGGATACCGAGGTGGAGACAAAACAAATTATATATCTATTTATAAAGCATTAGCATGCATTAATGTCGGATCGATATGACTGGCTGATGGATGGTGTCCATAATAAGGCATAATGGCTTTGTCGGGCGCTCGCAACTGAACATCCGAAGGCTTTTTTCTTCGTGTCTTCTAATGATGGGGAAATGTCTCGTCACGGTGACGTGTGTTTTGACTGATTCTAACCTTCTGGTGTTGAGCGTGAATTGGGCTATTCAAGGGTTAATCTATTTTAAATTGAATATTTGGTGTCAGATGTTAACTATTTGTTATATTTGATCTGATTTTTTTCTTTATTTCACAAATAATACTTCGAAGCTTATATAGAGTTATTTTGAATATATTATTTTATTCGAAATCCTAAAATAATTTTATTTAAGAGAAAATATTGCAATCACAAAAGATTAATATTCTTTGAACAAAGATCAGTTATTGTCACTTAGTTCCAAAGAGACATAACCGTCTCCTATATTGCTTATCGAACAAAAAATGGCAGCGAACCAGCCAGTAGTGTCACAAAACAACAGCTTGTCGAGATGAATTTGAAGACAAGCACAGATGTTCCTCTTTCTGGGGAATTGTAGTGACTTTGTTACGTCTCCGTGACATGTAAATTTGATTCGACCTTGTATTTAATTGGCCAGTTTTTAATAGCCCAGTTTTATATGTGACGGTCAGACTTTTGTAACAGTGTTGTTAATAATTCATGATGTTGCGCCTTAAAACAAAAGATAAGATTAACAACCCTAGCAACTCTTAAAAATTGTATTAAATTTTGTGAATTCTCATTTGAAATCTCGTTTTACGGACATTATTTTATTAAATATAAATGCCGACAAAAGCGTTAATTTAAAGCATGCAGAAATATGTTTTTCTATGACTGAATTTATTATGCTTTGATAACTAATTTACTCGTATAGTAATCGGATTCAAGTTATTAATGTACAAAAACATTCCTTTTCCATAAATGTTTATATTTCTGTTTACTTTTGTGTTTGTTTTTTAATGCAAATACAAGAACTTAAACGTTATAAAACGCATGCAAATAATACATGCAAAAAAACGAAAATTATATAATAAAAATTATAACGATTCTCGATGACGCGGTAAAATTTGTCTTATTTGTTGTGAATGAATGAATAATAATTTTATTTGTATATATTATACATATAGATGCTCACACACATACGCTAGCTATTATAAAAGTTGAGGAACTAAGAAGAAACATAAAATATTGTGTATTTCAATAGTTTTTAATTTACAGCGATTCATTAATTAGTTGCCATGAATGACAAACCCTATTTCGTGTTACACGTCTGTAGTTATTATTACAAAGTCGTATTGAAAACATCAACCTCTAAATTAAGGGCTGCAACACATATTATTGCGCAGTCCGAATTTTCACGAGTTGCTTCTTTTTCACTAAAACAAAGAAATCTTTTGAAGTTTAATAAATGTTGAATGTGTGCTACTAAGATAATCATTAACATCCATTTTATTTTGTAATTCTTCTGCGTTATTATATGTAAAAGAGATGCAGCTTCTTATCTAAAATTAGCTAAGAGAGATATCATTAATAATTAGCTAACTTATGATGTTCTTCCAAGTGTCTTTAATGACTACATGTACTTAAGTGGGTAGTACTTTCTAAATTCATTTATGAATCGTGAATTTTTAAATCACCTAATAAATTATAATTAACATTTTTTAACTATCTATATCAGTTAAAACATTCAACATGCGCAGCTTTTAGGTAAAAACATTTTTATATTGTAGGGACTCAGCAATTTGCGTGTTTTTAACATTTTCAAACAATTAAGTAAATGTATGTGCGACTTGCTGTATTGTGTATTGTGCATAACTTTTGTGTACATTAAGGATATTTTAATGAATATAATATCTACTAATATGTAAAAAATGTACTTATTGGTAATTTCATTCGTTTTGCTTCCTTAAATTATGCAGATTCAAGTTAAATATTTTGTTCAAAAGGAGGTCAGGTCCTACAGCAGAAATCAGTAGTACAATTTCTATCTTCGAATCTAATCATTATCTTTTTGCATTTACACCGTTTTTTTACGTTTGGTGGCATCTCCTTACTTCAACCAACCATATAATCATAACTAAAAGCTAAATGCATTCATGTCATCTACAACCTGGTCCACCTTAAGCTAAAATTTATTTAAAACAATCATATTTGGTTACTTTTTATTTGTGACCTGTATTATCCTAGAGTCACAAATACTAGTGTGACTCTAGGACAGCCATACTCAACCTTTTTTTTAATGGGGCCACAAACACGTTTTGATCTTAAATTGCGGGCTGCAAAAATATGTAGGTGTTAAAAAAACATAATTCCAAATTGGCGATGTGTTTATTGAAAAAAAAGGTGGTCACAATAAAGCCAACTATACAATACATAATTTTGTAACCTTTATAATATTAGGTTGAGATGAAGCCTCGTGCAATGTAGACCAAATTTTGAAAGAGCAAACTTTCAACAGTTTTTCTGATGGGCGCGACATTTTATAATCATGACCATTATCATACCATAGTCAAAGTTTTAAAATTCCAAGTGGGCCAATCACACTATTAGTTTCTTTATTACAAAATTTCTAAACAGCTAAAAAGATTAATAGTATTTAATGAATACTTGGATGATCTAACATAATATTTCCACATTAACAGTATAAACTTTTCACCAAAGAACTAGTGCTAATTAGTCTTCACTACATATTTATAAGTATAGTAGAATCGCAACACTGCAGGAAACTCAATATGCAAAGCACTTGAATGCGAGAGGTCGCGACCCTTACATGTTTGGAAGCCATAACTCAGTGGAAGCAACCTAGAGTGCGTGCACAGTGACTTATAAGATTTCAATAAACTGAAATTTTGTGTTTCGTCTAATTCTACTATGAGCTATGTAACTTGAATTTGTCAAGGAAATAACAATAGACGAGTTGGAAACTATTAAACATATAATTGATGAAAAAAAATTGATGGCGAAACTACATTTTAAATTATTTTACTACATTAAAAAATACAATAATAAGCTATGATTACAATATACGTGCTGTTCGAAAATCATTATTGAAATGATGTATATCTTTGTAAAAACTATTTTAATCTCGTTTATAGATAATTCTAAATCTGGATTGACATATAGGCTATCTTCATACGACTAAATATTTCCTCAAGGATAAAGTACCATCAAATTATTGGGCTTAAGAGATTTTTTTTTGTAAATCACAAAAGTGATATTTATTGTGCATTATCAATACGAAACTTACCTTAAATATACATATTACCTATATGGATATATATTGAAATAACAATGTACATATTTACTTAGTGTCCACATTGCTTACTAATTAACTTCAATCGCATTCACCGAAGAGTATAGTTTTACCAACAACATATTTTCCAGATAGAGAATAGCAACACTGTTATGATTTACCACGTTTCCTTTCGCGATAAAGGTGAAACACGCGAGTATATCTAGTGCTGTTAAGCAAAACGTCTTGCACTATTTGACTTTATCTTTGCTACTATAACATTTATGATTCAATTCGTGTTGCTTTAAATTGAAAGCTACAAAACCTTTGTATTATAAAGACTCTTCTTTAATTTTGATATGGGTGTACAAAATAAATACAGATTGCTTTATTATATAAATATTATATATTCTTGCGCAAGTGAAGATAAATTATACTGTTATCGCTATCATTTAATTGTTTGAGTAACAAATAATTATAAACTCACACATTTGTCTTTAAGTTTTAATATAAGTATAACGTAAATATCTCTATAATGTATATACAAGTAATATAAAGATAAAATTTTTGATTGACATTGAATTGGCTTCGGAACTACTGGACGTATTTTAATATTTTGTTTACCTATGGAAAGCTGCGATATACGCGTATTTAGTAACTTACGGCGCGAAGTTGCGGGACAACATTTAGTGTAGTATATTTTAACAGTTGATATATTCGTAATTTTGGAAGAGTGAGTTTGGTTGGTATAAGTTAATCAGTTCCACAGTACAGTAGAGTCACAATTAACTTTGCTGAGAGTTTTCAATAATAACAATAAAGTACAGAAAGCTTTTAAATGAATCCTGGGGAAGTTAAATAGAAAAATATTGGAAAAATGTGACTGCAAACTAATTTTCAATGATGGATTGGCAATGATGTTTCATTAAGCAAGTAACTTATGTATGTATGTTTCGAACTATTATGTAAAGCAAATCTAAAATATATACGATTATAAATTCAGAGCTTTAGTTTATACTAAATGTAACAATATACATCAAAATTAACTTAACATTTCTTCGAAAAAATTTAAGTATATTAATTAAGCATATTGAGTATATTATATAAGAAACGACCAATCAATTATTAAACTTTTTTTTAATATTATAGAGAAATAATAAAATAGGTAACTATGTATAGCTCTCATCATCTCATACTTAACACAATTTATTACACTCGTCCACTGTTAAAGTCAGGACTCGGTTAAGCTATTCATTTAGTAAGTTCCTAATCAAAGCCCTAATCAAATGCCCAAAATCTTTCCTTTGCTCATACAGCGCCATCTATCTCAGTCCTGCCCTACCTGTCCGCTCTTACCAGCGGCGATTAGTAAATAAATAACGAATTAAATTCCACTAAAGATTAGTGGCAGAGTCACCGTTCGCTCATACATAAATCAAGTCGTTCGTCGGTGGACCGAGGTAAATTATGACTCAAATAATATTATGCTAAAGTAGGGTCGCCGTATCATACCAAATCTTCCAGGACATGTTTTTGAAATTACCTACTTTAATGAGGAGATCGCAATTCAGCAATTATGCAAACATTTTACGTTAAGAAAATTATATAGGAGGAACGAGCTTTTGATGTCCAATTAAATGCGTGGTGGTGGTGAGCAGTGTTGACGGCCGTATAATGTATGAGTTATTTTGATGCTATCAATTATCAATTTTCTTAAGTTGTGAGAATGATGGTGTCTCAATAATTATGTATGAAGAATAACTTCCAAAATTGCACCATGATACATTATAAATTTGTGTATATACCTAGTACATTATTTAAAATATAAAAATAATATTTGATTTATACATTCTATGAACATGAAAACAAAAAAGTTTTTAAAATACTGGCATATGAAAAACTTATTTGTTTTCATATACCTAATATATAAATCGAATATTATTTTAAGAACTTTAAGATTTAACTAGTGCAATCAAAATTACGTTTATCTCTTACTCTAACAGTTTCTGCAATTAAATATTAAGGAATAAGAGGTAACTATTTATCCTTTTATTTAATTTCTTCCTTTTATCCTTTGCTGCAAAAATACTTGGTGTCTCTACTCTAAAGTCATGCTGCACACTACGACCGCCACTTAATATACAGTGTTTCTTATACTTTGACGGTTTTTATAATTATACATTATTACTCGACTAAAAGTGGTGTGTTACTGCAAATTGCTGCAAAACTGGATTACATAACTTACTCACTGTACAATTTTTAACTAAGTAGTTTCCTGCGTTTCGACTCTAAGTATAAAGAAACGTAGAATCAAAACAATGTCATAATATTTGACATAAATAAAATTAAGAATACTTTTTCACACACCAGAAGCTAAGAAAAATAATTGATCCGCAACTGGTTTTTCAAAAAACGTATATTAAAAGAATATTCGTCATGGAACCAGTGAATTAGTGTAGTCGACTTTATATTCAATATTTAGTAGTTGATTTTTACATTAAAAATTTTAAAAGAGTAGCTAAAGCCCCCATATTATGAAGTATCCGAGACAACGAATGTACCAAAACACCCAGACCCCAGACAATATAGAAAAGTTAATTTTCTACATTGACCCGACCGGGAACGAACCCGTGACCTCGAAGATGGCGAAACCGGCGTGCATACCAAATAATGTAATTTTATAAAAAGTCTTAAATGATTTAACTTTTGTGTTGTCACAAAATATGTATTGAATTATTGCAATGCTATAGATGTAGCCCTGCATAGATCTACATAGATTAAGATGAGTCAAAATAAAATAATTGAGTATTTATATTCTTTAAATTGCAAAGTACCTGCTAGACAAGTTGAAAAATAATATTTTCAATGCAGTTGCTCATAAAGCGCAATTTTTTTTGAGTCTTTAAAAACGTGTTAAATAAAATGTTCTGAAATACTTTACTGCACACGTGCTTAAAAGTATTTTTTTAATT